TGTGTGTGTGTGTGTGTGTGTGTGTGTGTGTGTGTGTGTGTGTGTGTGTGTGTGTGTGTGTGTGTGTGTATGAAATGCTCTGTTCACTGCGCCCTCCCGAAAAGGCCTTTCCTCGACCCATCAATGCCATCCAGAACCCCCCAGGACTCCCCGTCACTGTCCGAGCCCCTGTCTCGCTCTTCATCTCCCACGTCGTCATCGTCATCCTCGTCCTCCTCCTCCGGCGATGGCTCGCTGCCGTTCTCTGTGGCCCAGCTATCGTCCTCGTCCTCGGCCTCCTGCTTCAAGACCAGAGCTGGCGGTGGAGGTGGCGGGGGCGGCGGCGGAGGCGGCGGGCTGTCGTTGCTCTCTGTTTGGTCTTCAAAAGCTTCTGGGTTCTCGAGCATCTCCCTGATCAACGGAGGCATTGGCCCGGGGATCTCCATTTTCAGAGTGATGGCTCTCTCCGCACCTAGAAACAGAAAACACGGTGATGATAGATAATTAGTTTTGAAAGGAACGCTTCAAAACTTCCAAATTCAATCTTCAGAATCAGTCTCCTCATACTGACCCTTGGTGCTGATGCCCCTGAGGTCAGTGATCTTCATCAGCATGCGGGGGAACATGTGGGGCTTGTTCGGGCGTCGGCGGCGAGCATAGATCTTCAGAGCCTCAAGTAGAGGCTCTTGCAGCTTATCCACTTTCTGGGGCTCTTCGAGATCCATACGATCTGATGAGGGAGCACAAAACTCATTATAAATATATAAAATATTTACAAAAATTATTTAAAAAGCTTAATAATCGTTCAAGGTTTTATCATTGCTTCAAATAATTTCACATATTAAAACAATTTCCCATTTTTCTTCCCATCACTAATCATCAAGTCATCCAGTCAGTGTTTAGAATGCAGTACCTCCGCAGATGAGGCAGATGGCGCTGAGGAGGCCAGTTTCCGTGTCGTCCATCTCCAGGGGTAGAAGCTGGCCAGCAAAGGCGAACACCAGGTCTGTGAGTGGTCCGAAGCCGGCGTTGTGCATCTGTGTGCGGTTCAGAGTCAGACCGTCTGAGAAGGTCATAGTGTCCTGTTCTGGGGTGTAGCGTGTACAGATCCTCAGCATCTACGAGCAAAAGAAGTCGGAAACATTTGTGAGAAGTGAATAAAATCTGATGCTCAGGTGATGAAACGTTTTTTTTGACAGATAACAACTCAAGGTGTTTTGCTTACTATAATCAAATCCAATACACAGGGTTATTTGACCAAACCCTGCTACACTTCCACTTTCCACCACAGGGTGTCGGTGTTATCTCACATCAGAATGAACCCTTTTTCTCTCCAGCCATGAATCTATCAAAGTTAGTGAAAAGGATGAAAGAGAAGGAACTAAATGACAGCATCTTCCTCACCAGTATGTCCAGACAGGCCGACTTCAGTAGAGTGATCTGGTCCGCGATGGTGAGGGTGGTGAATCCCGGCAGCCGCTTGGCAAATTCCACAATCTTGATGATGCATTTGGTGGAGAGCTCACTGAACTTGTCCCATAGACCCAGATCCAGCTGGACACGGTGGTCTGAGCTGGAGTTCTGAACACACAAGAAAAGAAAAACACCCACAATTCAGTGTGTTTTAACAGAGGTGGTGTGCAACCCTGTTTGCATCAAGGCGAGCGTGTCCGAGCCTCGCAACACATTTCCATTTTACATCAATCAAGGAAGAAGAAATCCATTTACATGTTACATCAATCACTCTAGAGGCCACACAGATGGCTTAATGGGGAACTGAATTAGTTAAGCCACCACTCTGTTGGGAAAGCTACGGTGAATTTACGTCTTTGCATGCAATTCAGGGGCTCGCTTTGGTGTCATAGCTTGGAGAAAGTTGCCACACACAATATGACAGAACAGCAGCGTAGGATATGTGTGTGTGTGTGTGTGTGTGTGTGTGTGTGTGTGGAACTTACGGTGGTGTACTTGCCCAACTGGCCCAGTGACGGGAAGGTTTCTTGGTGAGCTTTGCTGACTTTATTGACCAACTCCTCCAACTCTCCACTTAGCTCATAGCTCTCAGGAAGCACCACCTCCTCCTTCACGTCCTTCTTCTTCTTGTTTCGGTCATTGCGGACCGCTGCGCGAAGAAAAACAAGGGAACAACGGCCTTAAAAGAGAGATTTGATACTGTTTCACGCAAAATCCTTTACTCATGCAATTTTCAGAGATGAGCTACAGAATGTTCCTCCTCAGTATCTGTGATCACATGTAAAAACATCCGCAGCACTCATGCTCATGCTCTTTCATTACTGCCAAGGACATCTAGCTCGCTAGTGGAAACCAGAACTCAGAGGCAACTGAGGTTGCTCTTAACAGTATTCACATATTTCCTTTGCCACAGCATTGACACTGGTTATCTCATTCTTATCACCCGCTCTCTTCCTTGTCCATCTCTCTATCCACTTGACCGGTGCACACAAGCCAGTCCTCCACTCTCTCCTCTCCCTCCTCCTCCCATACTTTCCTTCCTCTCAGGATATCCAGTAATAGCAGAGGCACAATGTGATCCCGGTCCTAACACACATCCCACACAAACATTACACCCACATGTCCCACAGGCTCTGTGACGGGCAAGCAACTGCTACTTAGACACACCCCTCCACACACAATGTCAAAATGAAGAGGGCACATTACTGGATCTGTGATTTTGCCCAACAGAGCGAGTTCTGATGCTAGTTTTTTTGAGAGAAAGAAATGTTTTTCTGATATGAATAAGAGCTGTGTCTGTGCTGGCCACAAGGTTTGGTGGTGAAATGGGAAGTCACAATCATTTCGTAAATATGATTAGTCATATGATTGGTACACTGCCTGGCCTCGCCCTGATGATCACCACCCCTGGTAGGCTCATCATCTGCTTCTGTCTCTCTGCTGCATAGTTTCTCAGAGTCTCTGACGGAGCATTAACAGATCAACAAGTTCACACTGTGCGAATCAGGTCACATCTTTCATTTGGTGGTGAAATTAAATCAGATCTGTGCCAAGAGACAGAGTGTGTGTGTGTGTGTGTGTGTGTGTGCGCGAGTGAATATCCATGTTTTCAAAGTGTGTCTATATCTCATGCGACTCTCGTCCTCCTGGAGGCCTCACCTTCCTTGGACATGCCGACCTCAAAGCATTTCTGCAGTCTGCAGTACTGGCAGCGGTTGCGTGTGACCTTGTTAATCTGACAGTTCTTGTCTCTGTGGCAGGTGTACACCATGTTCTTCTGGATACTGCGCCGGAAGAAACCCTGGAGCATCAGGAAGCAAGAGACAAAAGGGGAGAGGGCAAGAGAGCGAGAGAGAGATTGTGTATTATAGTCGAGTCATAAAAATCAAGGATGTGCCATTTAACCCTTTGTCTATCATACTCGCTGTTCTTTCATCTTTCTTGAATCCAGAACTGAGAAGGTAAACAATGAAATTAATCAGAGTTTTTTTTCTTTATTCTTAGTGACTTCATTTTGAACTCCAAATATTTAAGAAGTACTGAAGTGCCAAGCCGCTCCTTCTTATCATGATGCAAAAGCAATTCTTGCAGGGCAGCATTGTCACGAACGTATGAAACACAGACAAAGCGGAGCTCGGAAAGGCTCTGGCAGGTTTTCTCACCTTGCAGCCCTCACAGGAGCTGACCCCGTAGTGGTACCCCGAGGACTTGTCCTGGCACACAAAGCAGGGCTTGTAGATGCGAGGTGGGGGAGGTGGAGACGGAGAACTGGGTACCATCTCTTCAGAGCTGGTGCTCTGGGTCTCCACCGCTGTGAAAGAGACAGAAAAAAAGCAGAGCACATGAGCATGTGATTTGTCCCAAAAAAAAAAAGGAAAAATCCTGCAGCTACTTTTCCACAAATGTCACATGTGCACTTGTCGGTACATGTAGCAGATGTGGGTAGTTGAGTGTGTTTGACATCATTCAAACATGATATGGCAGCTGACAGTATTTCATTGTCTTTTTGTTTTGACACTGAATAAGGGTTATGTTCAGTCGGTATTCATGTCACCTCGAGGTGCATTAAGACACATGATCACCTTTCTTTTTTTGGCTTATTTCTCTCTGGGAGATAGAAGCTCGAAAAAGAAACAGTCACAAACTACAGACAGTATTTTAAATGTGCAGGCACTAATTGCCAGCTTAATCGACAACACCCAGGTACACGTTTGGCGAGATGTTTGGTTGAGTGTCTGACAGCAGAGACAAATTACTTTTTACAGCACAAACCAAAAGTGCCACAGACTGACAGTTTCACTGATAAGTCCAGGTAACAAGAATGAGCTGTAGCAGCCAAGTGCCAAATCTGGCTCTTCCTCATTCCATTGACTGACAACAGTTCATGATGACATCTTGCACGCACAGAGCAGACACATGCGTGCAAAGCTGGAGTGGGGTTCTCCTTCTACGTTTCTAATTAGAACACAACTATGACATAAGCACTACCTCAAGTCACATACTTGCTACGGTGCATTAAAATGGGACCCATATAGGCCGTGTTGGAAGTTCAAGTGTGCAGCGTATGGATTCCATACTTCCCCAGAGAAACATAAGCTGCTACACACACATTAGACCAGACCCTCGTCACACATGTTAGCCTGCACAAGCTCACGGACACACATGTTGCCCCCCTCCCTTACCCAACAGCACTTCTTTTAACTTTCACCCTTAGTCACCCTCAAACTTCCACGCCCCCCAAACTCTGCGTCCCACCACCCCCTGACACACAAACCCTATTTTTCTCTTGTTTCCTGGCCCTAAATTCCTCAGTGCAGCCCTGCCAGGTTTTAATAGAGGGCTCTGCTCGTAAGGCAGCCTATAAAGGCGGTCCCATGGCTGGACTGGAGGCCCCAGCCCGGCTGGCCTACACTTTATTGGGACTCGGTCACCTTGGGCAGCTATTCACACCACCAGCTGTAGCTCCCAGCCCGTAAAAAAAGCCAATCATAAAATAAAAAACAGGGAGGCTCTAAAATTCTAACTTTTACTACCCCCGCCTCCCCCCAGCACCTTCAATGGAAAGCACAGAGGGCTAGCCTAAACTTAACCTACAACCTCCCCTCCTCCCCTATCTCACACCCAAGGCTGAGGCAAAAACCACCAGCTTGGCTTTTTACAAGAGAGGGGAGACTTCAAAAAGAAGAAAAAAGGGGGGCATAAAAAGAGGAATTTGATAAAAAACAGAGAAGGGGGCAGGGGGGGAGGGGGAGGAGAGGACACAGTGGGTCCTGAGTGCAAGTCTTGTTCAAGACCAAGATGATCATCACTATCACTTCTGCTCCAGCTGCTGTGACTGGTTGGCTACTATCTCATTAATGATAGTAACAGAAATACAGTATGTCTGACATTTCTCATTTGTTGCCTGCTGCTCAAACATCTGTTTTTCATATGTATTTTATATTTGACTATTCAGAATCCAATCAAATTTTTCTTCAGAAAGCTTTTACGCTGCTGGAGGCAAAGATGTTTTCCATTATTTTTAAGAGCCAATCCTGATGCCAAATGTGCAAATCAATCTTAAACCTGAAGTTACGCCGGCTGAATGTTTCTACAGCGGTTCAGTATCTCTTTGGCCAGAAAGCAGCAAAACAGCAGGGTCAGTGGGAGAGCAGAAACCCTCTGAACGTGCCATGAACTTCTGTGTTTATGCAATAATAACAACGGCAAATGAGGCTCCAGACTGAGCGCTGACAAGCCTTTAGAAAAGGACAAACCATATGCGGCGTCAAGTAACGAACACTGACTGACATCTTCTTAATGGAGGAAGACAGCGAGCCAAAAGGAGAAAGGCCGTCCTGGAGAAAACTCAGACTACGCTGAGAGAGAAAATACATCAGGCTCCATCAACACGTCAAACCTGGTTGCTGCCAGGGAACATGACTCCTGTACCCGCCTCCAAGATTTCGCCTCATTCAGCCCACTCCATCCAGACCCCCCCCCACACCACTTACCCCAGGGCGCCACAGTGAGAGAGCCCATTCAGGCAGCCGCCCTGAGCCCCTTTCCCCAGTCTCCTCAACTCAGCTCATCACTGTTTAGAAAACAAAGCCCTGTGAAATGAGAGGCCCTCCTTATCAGTGCTCCGAGGCCTGGGGCACCATTTGCATGACAATCCGCCGGCCGAGGACTGTGAGCTGATGACGGACAGTTGAGATGAGAGGAGCGGGATAGGTGGGTGGCTGTTGGTGTTGGGGGAGGAGAAGAGGATGAGAGGGGCAAGAAGGAGGGATAGTTGAGTTATCAGTAGCCACTGTTCGTTTCCTGCTAAGTATCAGTTTACTCCCTAATCCCCTCTCTCAATGCTCTCTGGACACAAGTGGCCCAGCTGCACTTACCAGACCTAATCCCCTGGTCTCACACACACAAACACACACACCCACAATTCACTGGCTACAAACTACACACACAGGAGGATAATATTCACCAGATACAAACTAGTGAACACACAAAAAAAATAATCCACCCCCCCATTACACTAAAGTGCATCAGCCTGAGCTGGATGTGCGGCACATCATTCTCCACAACCTCATTAGATGTGAAACTGCACATGACAGAAATAGCTGTTCAACAGAAGGTGACTTCAACTAGGTCAATTACATTAAATTCTAGGTTAAGTCAAACAGGCCAATCGATTTCCCTCTGGGTCAAACAGAAACGATTGGAGAGAAAAAAGGACAATAGGAGGAGCATTTGTATGTGAGCAAATGCATGACTGTACGCGGCTTGTGTTTTGTGTTGCAACACACCCCTTCTAAGTGAGCAGCATATGACATACTGGCAGGGTAACAAGTATTCTTTCACAATAGGCCTGCAGATTTTGTCTACGTGACTCGTTGAACTGACTGAATCTTCAGTGGGACCCAGTTCTAGTCTTGATATGTGAGAGTCAAAGCACAAGCTGTGTCTGTGTGATGACAGAATATATGCACAGTGCATGTACATGAGTATATGTGTGCATGAGTTTCTCTGTGTGGATGTTGTTTATGTGCACATGACTCCAGGCTGGGGCGCTGCTCACCCCGTGCAGCCTCCATATGATTTTCAAATGCGGGACTAATGTAACTGTGGGGCAGTGAGTGTTCAACATGAAAATATTCTCCTGTGTGTGTGCTCATGATTTAGCTTTTCTGTTCATGTTCAACTGCAAGTACGGGCAAGTGGGGCCTTTGTCTCCATCTCTCTGATCAGCGTGCAAAGCTTGCGTGTTCTTGTCGAATTCACTGAGCAGTAAAAGAGTGTGTGACTTTGGAGGCGGTGTGTGAGAGAGGGGCACACAGTAGGGCTCGCTGTGAAAAGAGGGGTGGGTAACTGGGCAGACAGCAGTGGCAGAAGGGGAGCAGATTGAGAGAGGATGGTGAACAGTGGGCTGGAAGACTCGCTGGCACACTAGGAGGGGCTGTTAAGGGTGCCCTTGGCCCTGTACCCCTCTCTGACTGAGTGACCATCGGCACACCAAAAGGTTTCCACGAAGAACTGAGATTCGTGAAAGAGGAAAAGAAAGTACCACACCCTTGTCAGTGGTGCCAGTATGTTTCACTCTCCTTCTCTCTGCTTCGCTGCCCACGTCTTCCTGCCATCTCTCTGAGGCTTCTGCTTCAAGGTCCCACACAACAGGCCGGTTTCCTTCCTCTTCTCACAGTACTAGTCTTTCCGGAGGATCTCCGTCACTGCTTTTGTAGCCACCCCTCTCTTTCCCTCCCTCACTGCTACACCTTTCCCACAGGTCGAATAATAATGCCACTGCTCTTTTGAAGCACTGTTGCACACGGTTGAGTCACCTGCAAGCTTTTAAGTGGGAAGTCTATCAAGTCTCTTTTGTGTGAGTTACACAAGCGCTCACAATGTAACCTGCCCCGCAATTGAGAAAGAAAATGTGTGTGTGTGTGTGTGTGTGTGTGTGTGTGTATGTGTGTGTGTGTGTGTGTGTGTGTGTGTGTGTGTGTGTTTACAAAGAGGAGGGGGAAGGGGGGCTTCATTAAAAGGTGCTGAGAAGTAGCAACGCTTTTCAATGGCTGTCAGAAATCGCATTACCTGGGCTCCAACAGACACACACACACACACTGATTCACAAGCCTGCTAAGGGGCCCACTGTACTGTTTTAGAAACAAGGTCTATGATATAAACTGGGTTGGTGATCAGGTTTGAGTGGTGTAAACAGTGAAAGTGAGAAACCAGACATCAACACACACACACACACACACACACACACACACACACACACACACACACACACACACACACCCCTCCAGGAACTTACACCCTTCTGTCAGAATCAGCAAAGAGTCTTGACGCACAGAGGAAGGCGAACACACGTGTGAATGCACACAATGCGCCCAGACATATGAGCAGTAGAATGGTTTGGCTCTGGACGCCACTGAAAATACTTTTGAGAGTGACTCGGTGTGACATGGCACACAAACTCCAACTGCCAATGCACACACACTTCACACTCCTTTACCCATAGCTCCCCCAATGAAAGCATACAACTAGAGTAGCGCAGGAAAGGCAGCAGGTGGGATAAGCCCGTATCCTCAGGGCACATTTTAAGAAGTGGAATTACCCTTGCAGTCTGGTCGCGCTCTCAAAACACCCTTTCTTCTTTACAGCACCTCATAAAGGGCCTTTTGATATTTTCTTGATGGAGTCAGCCAAGTGAACATTTGGCAGCAAGCACCCCTCCTTTTTCCTGCACCACAAAACCCTGTCAAGAAACACACAAGTTGGCTTCAAACAGACAAACTTGCCCACCAAGCTGCCTGGTGCCAGAAA